AAGGCCCATGACCGCCGGGCGGTGCATGCCGCTGGCGGTTTCGACATTGACCGTGAGCTCGAAGCACAATTTCGTGACCAGGAAGGTGCCCGCCTCGTCTCTCCCGCACAGCTCTCACAAACAGCCGAGCGGTGGCTCTCTGCCGACGCCACTCGCTCCCCGTGCCTCGAGGCAGTTCCTTCACTGCTCCAAATGGAGCAAATGTGCATCCGACAGGCACCGGCTAAGGCACCAGGACCCGACGGCCTGCGGAACGAGCTCTGGCGGGACCATGGAGCCCTTGCCGGTCAGTGGCTGTGGCCACTTTGCACCCGTATCGCGCTTCAGGGCCGCGAACCCTTCGATTTCAAGAGGGCCATCGTCTGCGCCCTCTACAAAAAGGGCCCGGCATCAGTGCCAGCCAATTACCGCTCAATTGCCCTCCTTAACGGCATTGCTAAGTTGTGGCATTCTCACCTCCGCACCACGGTTGGCGGACATGTTCTGTCTCGATGCAGCTAGGAGGGCGCCGCGGCGTCCACACTGGTTTCGCCTTGGCCGCTTTCCGATGCGCCTGGGACCTCTCTGTCTCTGCGGGACGGTGCGTTGCTGTTGTCTTTGTCGACATCCAAGCCGCTTACTACGAGGCTAGCAGAGATCTGCTGTTCGATGGCTTCCCTGACGATGTTGACGTCCCGGAGCACCATCACCTTGCTGGACTTGTCCTCCAGCTTCACCGTCAGGGGGCCCTCTCCGCTCTGGGAGTTGCTGAGGATGTCAGCGCGCTCCTACGGGATTGTGTTGCCCTGTCCCACTGGTCGCTCTCCGGTTCGGACAACATCTTCCTGGCCTCTAGAGGTTCCCGTCCCGGCGACGGCCTCGCCGACGTCCTGTTTGGTGCCCTATTTGCTATCGGGCTGCAACACATCCAGCGCACTGCTTGTTCCATGGGCATCTCACACACCAGATCGGCCTCGAGCCAGGTGTCAAGCCGATTGGCTGGGCTGACGACCTAGCCGTCCTTGCGGACTTCGATAGTCCTGCCGAGCTCCAAACACAACTTCCCCTCCTCACCGGTGTCATTCTTGACACTCTCCGCTGCTTGCGGTTCCGGGTCAACCTTGGGGCAGGCAAGACCGAGGCCCTTGTTGATATTAGGGGAGAAGGTGCACGAGCAGCGCGCGGCGCCTTGCTCAGCGGGGACGCCCTTTTGGAAGTTTCCGAAGGTGACAGCATTCGACTCTGCCCTGAGTACAAATACTTGGGTGTCGCCCAGCTGCCTCGAGACACCGGCAGACGTGACTGCGAGCTGTCGGCACAGCGAGGGTCGGCGGCGGCGTCTCTAGCTCGAACCCTGCTTTGCAGCAATTGTCTGCCTTGGGAGCTGAAACGAGCCTGGATTACTGGACGTGTCCTCCCCTCCGCATACTCCTCCCTGGCCTTCTCGCGCGCTGATTCCGCCCGGGCCGCTGCGCCATTGGCTGGACTCTTTGAACGCACAGCTAGGATTTTGCTGTCATCCTGGCAAGTTGGCCATAAGCTCACCACCCCTTTGCTTCGGCTTCTTGCTGATATCACCCCTCCCGACCTTGCGACCACTGTTAGCCAGTGCCGCCTCTGTGTGCAGCTATTCTGCAAGGCACCTGCAGCTGTCAGGGACATTGTTGATGCTGCGTGGAACCGAGCACTCCCTTGGTGTCAGGCCCTCGTCCTTGCTTGTTTGCGCGTTGGAGCCGCCTTAGACTCCTGGGACCCTGCCGCTCCCCCTTCCATCACTGTCCTGTTCGTTCAGCAGAACGGACGCGCTCTCCTACGAGCGTGCAAGGCTCTGAGCAAATTTGGGCACAGATATGCTGCCTGCGCACAGCTTTGGGCGGATCTGGCCACCCGCCGCACCACGAAGATCCTTGGTGCGCCACAATCCCACAGCTGCCCGGTCTGTCAAGGCGTTTTCCCGAGCCTACATGCGGTACGAGCTCACATGCATCGGAAACACGGTGTCCTTTCTGATGTGACTGCTTACATGGCTGGCTCGGTTTGTCTTTGGTGCATGCGAGACTTCCAATCCTCGGATCGACTCAAGCACCACCTTCAAACACAGCGCTCCTGCCTGCACGGCCTGCGCGTTACTGTCGGACCTGTCTACCAGTACGGTTCGGGCACAAAACGCTCAGGTCGCGCCAGCCACCGTGGAGTCCCTCCGCAGCGCCTCTGCGGGCCTTGCAATGCCACCCCGGTGCAGAGGCGGGCGGCCGACCTTGGGGTGCCGGCCGACGACGCTGCTCTGCAAGCAGAGTGGGACGCTGTCCAACGCTCCCCTGCACTCTCGGACCTTGTACCCGGCAACCTGCATCGACCATCTACCTTGCCGCCTATCGACGACGACTCCGGCGCACGGCAGACCTGGCACATCCCCGCTGCACGGGGTTCTTCCCCCACGCTCTGTCTCCCAGCATTCCCGCTCGGCCACCGCTGATGTGGCCTCTCCTGAGCTACACCCTTTGCCATGGTTCTCTATTGTGGAAGGGGCTGCTGGCTGTGACGACTGGGCTCTTCCCTCGCCCTGGTGGCCTGGGCTTCTTGGCCTCGGAGGGGTCTTTCAACTTCCCTCCTCTTGGCACCGGCTCTGGCCTATGTGGTCTGCGCTCGAGTTCTTCGAACCTTGGGAGAATCGGGCCATCCGTCGCTTCGGTGCTCTGCGCTCCGCCTCTTCGTGCGGTTTGGGCGCAGCAGCCACACTTACTGATGCCACTGCTGGCAGGTGGTCTCTGTTGGAGTTGGCCGCTGCCACGGTGTCCTTCCGTATGATCTGCAAGACTGTCCTCCGCCGCGGTGCTCTCTGGCTTTGGGGGCACCCCAGCAATCAAGGTCTTGCCCTGCTGCGCCGTTTGCTCCCGGCGGCCTTCTTCTTGGACTTTCATTCGCCGAGGGGACGGGTCTTCCTTGTCGCAAGCTCTGCCTCCCTGGCCTCCCTTGTGCGTGCTGTCATCGCTCGACCTGCCTGCTCGGCCCCGGTCTCGCTTCCGTTGCGAGCTTTCTGGGCCTACCCGGCTGCATGACTTGCCGCTCTTGTACAGCCCTTTTGTCTGCCTTTTCCGTGTTCGTTTCCGGCCGCGCGGCTATAGCAGCTTCGCTTTTGGCCTTTGCATGCCTTAGTTAGCACAGGACATCCTCTTGCGCGTGAGTGAGTGAGTGAGTTTAGGGGTTGCGTTCACGGATTGTCGATGTCAGTTTGAATTTAGATTCGTCTGAGTTGGCACTATGTTGTTAGCCAAGAAAGGTTAATTAAGGAAGGGCTTGTCAGTACCCACTGACGGCGTGAGTTTGCGCGCCTTGTTGAACGACTTTGTCATTGTGCTGGTGCACCTTGGCGTGGCGCCGAGAGGAACGTGGACTGACAAAGTGCACGTGTATGCATGTGCCCAAGCTTTGAATAACCCACGCCCAAGGAATCCGTGGATATCATGCCTTACTGTTTCGGGGGTTCCTTACAATAATGATAGTAATTCTTATTATAGTATAATCGGCCCCAAAGCCCCATTCTAAGTATTACGGCCCCTACATTACCTTCGATAGCCTGAACCTCAACGTGAAGTCTGAGTTGGGCGTGGCAAGTAACGACCCCGATCGAAGCGCCATGTGGAAGTAGGGTTGATGATATAAATCCCTAGGGTTCCCTTTAAAGGGATCTATAGAGGTACCTTTAAGGGGCTCCTTTTAAGGGATCTATAGGGTTTTAGGGTTTAGGGTGATGATATAAATCCTGCATTACCTTAAGGACCCTAAACTATGGGAATTATGGTATATTCCTTATTATGGGTAATGCAGGATTTATATCATCAACAGTAGGTTCGTTGAGTGTTCGACTAGCTGAAATTCCAACTCATCGTCATCGTCCCAAGATGTGATGCCCAATGACAACGAGCCATGGCATAAGGAGCTGCACCAATGACGACAATACCCTATCGGGATCTGCGCGCTGTCCTAACCCCTAGAGCCCCAAACCCCCAAACCCCTATAAACCCTCAACCCTAAACCCCAAACCCTAAACCCTAAACCCCTAAACCACGCCAGTAAAAAAAGGCCATGCAGATGGAGCTGGAAGATGCTGTTTGCTTTGCTGACATGCAGGTGCATGACATGTAGGTGGTTGTCAAAATTAGGGTCCCTTTTTGGGTACCCTAAATATTTGGTGCCGTATTGTACTAGGGACCCCAAAAAGGTACCATAATTTTGACAACCATCCATGTGACAATGTGGCTTTGAGCACCGAGTGACGGCTTGGTGTTCCTATTCCTTTTGCCTTAGAAGCTGCCCCGACCCTGTAATAGTGGTATAATAGGAAAATAATAGGGCCCTAATATATTCATATATAATCCTTATAGTCACTATTACAGGGTGGGGGCAGCTTCTAACTTTTGCCCCTGAGCCATAGAGCCGAAACCCCAAAGCACGACAAGATCAAAGGCTCCAGCAACTACGTACAGGGAACTCCAGAAAGTTGGAATATGGTTTCATGGTAGGATACCCTATAGTTTACCATAGAAGGGTTAGGATAATCATATTCCAACTTTCTGGCTTTTACCTTACGGGCTAGGGTTTGGTGTTTCAGGATTAGCTTCGACGCCCGATTACAAGTCGTGAGCAGTCAACCCGAAAGCCTACAAACCCAATAGCCTGCACCCTGAAACTCTACAAAGCTCGGCACTCCGGTCTTGACTTGGATGATCTGAGAGAGAAAGCTTCCACAACAGGGGTCTATCTGGTGTACTATAGAAGCATCAATAACTACAATACTATTTTGGGGCTCCTTATAACATTCATTGTGCAGTATACCCCCAAACCCTATTGCAATCATTAAGGCCCTTATATTGCTTGTAACGGGTTGTTTCGCCGCTATCAGTAGTCACGCCCAGGATCTCGTGTTTACGAAACAAGGCTTTGTCCACATCTTTCAAAAGTTACAGAGTGTTGGGTTTAGGGAATATGTCCTTAAGAGTTTGCTGCTGACTTCTACTGAGGAAGCCTCTTCGCGGCAAACCGTCGAAACCGCGAGGGTTGCAACGCCGGCTCAGCGTCTCCGTCGACGAGCTCGCTACATGTCCGGTGCCTCGCACCCGATGTAGGGCAATGTAGGGCTAGTGTTCGATCAGGATCCCACAGCGGTTCCACAGAGGGGTTTTAGGATTTAACTTTATATACCCATTATATAGCCCATTATAGGGTAGGGGTCCCCATTAAGGGTCCCTCCTTTTCCCCTTTGATTTTAGAGGTTGAAAACGGAAGGGCCCGGGAGATCTGGTGCATGATGGACTTGGAGGTTGTTGGGGTTTGGGATTTGGGTTCGAAGCCCCAAATGGTGGTTTCCGAAAATAGGGGACCCTAATATAGTACACTAAATAGTAGGATCCTTATAATAAGGACCCCAAAATGAGGTACCCCTATTTTCGAAAACTCCCAAATATATATATATATATATATATATATATATATATATATCATCCGAAACTGCAAAGCAGACCCAGGAACCAGGCTTCAGAGATCGAGCCCCTGAGTATTACAGATGCTTGAAAAACACTACAAGTCTTCCTCAGGGCTCCACAGCCCTTCCAAAACCCCTTAATTAAGGAATATACTTCAAATCATATTAGGTCTCCTATTATAATTTTAGGGTACATTCCTTAATTAAGGGGTTTTGGAGTCTCTGGGTCCCCATTGTAATTGGTGTATAATACACCCCCCCCCCAACGCCTCTATGACCCCTACATTAAGCTCGGAAAGCTTTCAACACCCTATACAAGACGCATAACTTCCTGTGCAAGACTCGCAGGGGACTTCATGAGTACGCCCGGTACATTTCCAGTTGAAGGTAAACCCTGAACCCTAAAAGCCCCAAACCCTAAACCCTAAGACCCTAAGCCCTAAACCACAAAGCCTTAAATCCCAAAGACCCAAAATCCTAACCCCCAAACCCCAAAACCTTAAACCCCAAAGCCCCAACTTCCCATAACTCTAAAACCCTACAGTAAGCCCCATAAAGTTGAAAGCCGGATTAAGGCCAATTAGTGCTGGGATTCCCTATACATTACTCTTCAGGATTGAGGCTATTGGGTTTCCAACTTTTGGATATATACTTTAGACCCTGAATAATAGTAGCCCTTTTAAAAGGACCCCTTTGAAGGAATCCTATTCCAATTATTGACAATAGGGTGTTTCCAACTTATTCGCTTCTACCCTAAAGTCCCGATTGCAAGGGCTCACTCGACTTTCGGAGACAGTCCTCGTCGATGAAGGCGAGAGCTCGCTGGATTTTATCGGTTTAGGGTTTAGGGTTTTAGGGTTTAGGGTTTAGGGGTTTAGGGTTTGGGGTTTAGGGTTTGGGGTTTAGGGTTTTTCCGGTTTAGAAGTTTAGGGTTTAGGGTTTGGGGTTTAGGCTTTTGAAACGGAAGGGCCGGCTACAAGAGTTCATATTGGAACATATCATAAAAATTCCACTTACGGTCCTTCAAGAATTCCAGAAAAATGTGCCTGAAACCCGCGTTCGCATGGTTTTTGGATCCTGCATTACGGTTTTGGAGCTTCATGTGTAGGCTTGATAGCTCAGGCAGGATTTAGAAGCCAGGTTCTATCCACAGACCCACAAAGGGCATCTTGCTGCTACATGGGTGGTTGTCAAAATTCGGATCCCTTTTTTGGGTCCTCATTACAGTACAGCACCTGATAGTTGGGGTACCCAAAAAGGCCGTAATTTTGACAACCACCAATATGGGTTGAGGTCGAAGTACAGCCTTCCTTGTTCGAGGGTTAGGTTTTGTTGGATGTGTAAGGAATCTAGAAACCCTAAACCCTAAACCCTAGGAATCTAGGTAATCAGGGTTGTGCGGTTTAGGGTCTAAGGTGATGGTTTCATTGTGTCTTTAGTATTTGTTTTTGCCGGTGCTGGGTGAGTTTTGGGCTTTCCTTTAGCCTGAAATCTGAAACTCTCCAAAATACTAGGTTATGACCCTGCGTTGAACAGTGGAGCACTAAAAGCTCGCAGGTGCACGGAGCTACAGGGTGGGTTTAGGATTCGGGTTCTTGGTCTCATGCTGCCTTATAGACCCCAAACCCTAAACCCCTAAAGCGTAAGCTCTCAGTCTACCAAATAATTACGCGTCATACGAGGCCCAGCCTTTGTCTGGTGTTTGCGCTAGCACCCCAATCCCGAGGTTGCTAACCTTCAAGCTTGCAGGGTTAAGGGTATTAGGGTTTTGGGGGCTCAGGATTTGGGGAAAGACGGTTTTAGATTTAGGGTGAATGCTCAGATTTGAGAGTGTTTAGGTTGTGAACTTTGGTGTTATAACATCACAATCCTAGAGCCATTGCAAGTGGCAGGGCATCACTGAACGAACGGGGCGTCCAATTCTTGAAAATTTTCCGCCTGAGGCTCAGGGGATGCGGTAGTGATACCCTCTATAGTAGCTCACAGCATAGATGTTTAAGCCTTCAGTGGAGTTACATTGTTCTTCAAGGATCCTACGAACATGTGGAACCAGAGCTCTTGCTGAGCCTGTAACTGCAAGATATCTGAAACTTCAACCCTACATCCACTGATAGTACAGAATATGGAAGATAGGGTATAGAGTACATGGAATATACAATCTGGCACACAATAAGCCTTGGGGTGGCAGTCCGCCTTCTCCGTTCGTCTTCAAAAATAGCGGTTTGGAGGCCTCTGCGCCAGGAGCACGAGTCTGGCGGGCCCTGAGGAGACCACCAGGAGACCACGATAATGCATTCCCCCAAGTACTGGCGCATCGAGCACCACGCCCGGAATGCTTTCCCTAAATGGGAGTTTCCGAAAATAGGGGACCCTTCTTTGGTACCCTAAATAGTAGGATCCCTATTATAAGGACCCCAAAATAAGGTACCCCTAATTTTCGGAAACTACCAAAAACTGGCGGGATTCAGCATGATTTGGGAGCACGGCGGGAATTCTTTTCTTCAAGTATTAGCAGGTCCAGGACCAGCGTCAAAGTGCTTTGCTTCAAATGCTCAAGAGCGAAAAGTTGTCCATATCGTATTATTTGCAATGAATCACGCCTCCAAGAAACCCGTAGCATGCCAAGAGGCCGTCAGCGAAAGCTATGCACCACACCACAGCGGGAGACGCGCGCCGCGAGCATTGTGTCTACAGAATAGGACGCGAGTATCCAACTTGCTTCCTAAGTAGTATTAGGGACACCCTTTAGCGGGGACCCGTCTTAACCCTGCTTGTCGCTCTCTCAACAGGGACCTTATTGAGAGGGTCTATCTCGCCAAGGGTCCCCCTAATCATATCTCTTATTGCTGCCCCTGTTGTAAATAATATAGGGGCCTTAGTAATTGCCTATACTATTTTGGGGGTTCCTTCTTATAGTTATAGTATTAAAGGCCCCAAACCCTATTCCAACTATTAAGGCCTCTATATTAGTCAAATCTCCCATTGCAGCCCCCTATTGTCAATAATTGGAATAGGGTTCCTTCAAAGGGGTCCTTTTAAAAGGGCTACTATTATTCAGGGTCTAAAGTATATACAGTAGAAGCCCAAAAGTTGGAAAACCAATAGCCTCAATCCTTAAGACTAGTGTATAGGGAATCCCAGCACTATTTGGCCTTAATCCGGTTTCCAACTGTATGGGGTCTACTGTAGGGTGTTTATAGACCCTTATGGATCCCTGTAAAGGTACCCCCAACCCTGGAGACTCCAAAAACCCTAAACCCAAAACCCTAAACCCAAAACCCTAAACCCTAAACCCTAAACCCTAAACCCAACCCAAAGTGTGTACTTTAAGGAGTTAGCTGTAATCCGGTTTCCAACTTTACGGGGTCCACTGTAAGGGTTCCATGGTACAGGGGCCTTTATACTCGGATCCTGGGAGCTCCTATTTGAGGTGGGTTTAGGGTTGAGGGTTGAGGGTTTAGGGTTGAGGGATGAGGGTTTAGGGTTTAGGGGCGGGCACAGCAATCATGTCTCTTCACTCTCAACGCAAGAACTTTACCGTGTTAACACACGTTGGGGAAGAGTATATGACATACGGTTTACAACAGATAGTATGTAATGAACAACAAGAGCGGTTTTCATTTTTGTATATTTAATTTCTTACTTTACATGTCATACATATATATATATATATATAAATATATATATATATATCACGAAATAGAACACATTCCATACTGTCCAGTTCATAATTCTTAATGTTTACATTATGTGCATAGTTTTAAATCGAGTATATCACATCTAACATCGATAATAGAAAATGTAATAATACATAGGTAGTCTGCAATGAAAAAGTTGAAACCGTACACAATCAATCCAATTTAGATTGTATGTATACATGTGTATATATATACACATATGCAGATATATATATATATATATATATATATATTCACACACATATATATTTATGTATACACACATAGCATGTAAGGTATAAGCTGCAACAGATAATATGAAACATATAATATTTCTTTCTAGATTATGTAAATACATATTATACTCATGCATAGTAGGTGTTCATTGTATATAGTATATGTACAATACGCACATGCGTAGAATATATGGCATAATATTTATGTATGAGGTTAATAATATATATATATATATATATAGATATATACATACACATATGTATACATAGCATAAGATAAAAACAAATCGGAACATACTGTATATATATATATATATATATTGTAGAATATGATATGATGATATATACATGTGTATATATATATATATCTGTATTTAACATTTTGTTTTAGTTTTTTGTCTATCTATATGTTGCAAGTAAATAACATGCGACATACAATATTCGGTCTAAAGTAACAAGCATATCGTATACAATACCTACTGTACAGTATATATTATAAAGTACATAGCATACAGTATAGCATATGTATCATACATACACGGCAAAATATATGTAATTCTAAAGTTGTCAGTAGTTAGTATCCAGTACATAGTACGTAGCATATAGGATACAGCCTACAGTATGTAGTATATAGCAGACAACAAAACAGCTCTTTTATATATACGATGTATTAGATATCATCTAACATCTGTTATGTAATACTGTGCTTGACATCAAGTATTATGGTGTATGCAAAAAAAGTATTTGTACGGTATGTAATATACTGTTTAGAAAGTTTTTGGTGTTTAAGGTCTAATGTATGGTAAAAGTATAAAGTAGTACACGTAATATGTAATACGCAATATACACTGTATTCCACCTATCTTACAATACAACACAAAATCTTCATAACCAAGCAGGTAATACTTGGTTCATAGCATATGATCTTCGGTCTGCAGTCAAGAATTTATGATATATGGGAGCAGCACGATCAATAATGACACTGATGATGAAAGTAACACTGGCAGTCGTGATACTATGTTTATGTATATCCAGATTATGTATCTATGTATGCATATATGTATGTATATATATATATATATATGTATATATATAGAGAGAGAGAGAGATAACGAGAGAGACATGTACGTATATATATATATATATATATATGTATATACATATATATATATAGTTCACATATATATATATATGTGTGTGTATGAACATGTATTATATGCATATATACAAGTATATATGTATATGCACATATACATGTATATATACACTTAAATCCAACATCTGGATCCTAGACTCTTCAATCTCAGTACCGAATCTGTGATTAAATCGAAAACTGGTATTGGAGATTTCTCTTTGGTCATGTCGATTGCAGTGGAAGTTTCACTTCTCAGTGGCAAGACAGCTACTGTGCAAGCAGGCTTAGACGAAACTGTGGAGACGTTGGCACAACGGGCAAGGATCGCACTGGGAGTCGGCAAAGGGCGGTTGCTAAACTCCTCTGGAGTCGTTCTGGACGGAGGTGCAGAGACAGCAGATTGCCAGATTCGAAACGGTGACGTGCTGACCTTGCATGTAAAGAGAGTGCAAATTCAATCCACTGAAAGCTCTTTCGCTGCAATTCTTGGCGATGGATCCGTGGTGACCTGGGGTGCTGCTGGCCTAGGTGGCGACAGCAGTGAGGTGGAGGAAAAGTTGAAGGATGTGCAGCAGATCCAAGCCTCTCGCGGGGCTTTTGCTGCCATTCTTGGCGATGGATCCGTGGTGACCTGGGGTCTTCCCATTTTTGGCAGCGACAGCAGCGCCGTTCAAGGTCAGCTGACGAATGTGCAGCAGATCCAAGCCACTGGCGGCGCCTTTGCTGCCATTGTTGGCGACGGATGTGTAGTGACCTGGGGTGA